TCCTCAAAAATTAAAGCACACCGTGCTAAAAAAGATATAAGTGAAGCACTAGAGCAATTCCATAGCTCAAAACATTTAGTTGAAGCACATAGAGCAATTCTAAGTAATCATAGCATAATTATGGCTCTCTCAGATAGGTGTGTCCAGCAAGGATGATTGTGACAAACTAAAAGGTAAATCAAGCAAAGACTCATATAATACAAGATGCTCCAAGCAAAACTCATGATGTGTGACGAATAAAAATATAACTTCAAGTAAAATTACCGATGGTCGTTAGAAGAAAGAGGGGATGCCTTCCGGGGCATCCCCAAGCTTAGTTGCTTGGTTCTCCTTGAATATTACCTTGGGGTGCCATGGGCATCCCCAAGCTTAGGCTATTTTCACTCCTTATTCCTTCATCCATTATGATCTCACCCAAAACTTGAAAACTTCAATCACACAAAACTTAAGAAAACCTTTGTGAGATCTGTTAGTATAATAAGCAAATCACCACTCTAAGTACTATTGCAAACCCATTCATATTTTATTATTGCATTATACCTATTGTATTCTAACTTTACCATGGCTTATACCCCCCGATACAATCCATAGATTCATCAAAATAAGCATGTAACGCAACAAAAATAGAATCTGTTAAAAAAGAACAATCTGTAGTAATCTGTACTCTAACCATACTTCTGTAACTCCAAAATTCTGAACAATTGGGACAATGTACGCAATTCATATATTAATCTTGTGTAAAAAAATCAGAATTTTTCGTCGCTTCTGTGATTTTTAGAAATTCTGCTGGTGGGCGTAAAAGTTTCTGTTTTTCAACAAGATCAAATCAACTATCACCCAACATGATCCCGAAGGCTTTACTTGGCACAAACAGTAATTAAAACACAATCATAACAGTAGCATAATTGTGCAAATACTCAAGAACAGAAAGAAAAAGGCAAAAATAAATTTTATTCGTTGGGTTGCCTCCCAACAAGCGCTATTGTTTTATGCCCCTAGATAGCCATAATTCATAGATTCAAGTATTGTCATCTTTGGTTTTTGGTCCATAGGTTGCCCTAATGATTGATTCATATGGTGGCTTAATTCTTGTTCTAGGAAAGTGTTCCGTACCCTTTCTTAGTGGAAATTGAAATTTAATATTGCATTCTTTCATATCAATCACGACACCTATGGTTCGTAAAAATGGTCTACCAAGTATAATTGGACAAGACAGATTGCAATCAATATCAAGAACAATAAAAACCTATGGGCACATAATTACTATTTGCAATAATAAGAACATCATTAATTCTTCCCAAAGGCTTTTTAATAGTAGAATCCGCCAAGTGCAAATTAAGAGAACATTCTTCAATATTGGTAAGACCAAGCACATCACATAGAGATTTCGAAATTGTGGAAATACTAGCACCCAAATCACATAAAGCAAAGAACTCATAATTTTTAATCTTGAATTTAATGGTAGGTTCCCATTCATCATGTAATTTCCTAGGAATTGAAATCTATAATTTCAATTTTTCTTCTAAAGCTTTTAGCATGGCATCTACGATATCTATAATAAAAGCTTTATTCTGTTCATAGGCATGGGCTGAATTTATCATGTATTGCAATAAAGAAATACACTCAATCAAAGAACAACTATCATAATTAAAATCTTTGTAACCCAGAAGAGTGGGCACATCACTAGTTACAGTTTTGACCTCTCCAAACCCACTTTTATCAATTTTTTCATCAAGATTTTCACCCTCCGAATTGTTGGGACGCCTTCTAGCTAAAATTGACTCTTTTTCAGTCCCTTTATCATCAATTTTAATCTTACTAAACAAGAAATCAATAGAAGAAACACCAATCATTTTAAGATCTTCATCATTGTTAAAAAAGCAATTGGTAGAAAACACTCTTTCTAAAAATTCTCTTTTATCTCTAAGCACATCGGTTCTTTTCTTATTTTCATCCATGGAAACATATAAAGCTTTAATTGATTCATTGACATCAATCTTAGGTGGAAATTTTTTAATCTTGAGATTTTCTACGGCATGGGAAATTCTATCAATGCTTCTAGACATATCACCAATCTTATTCAACTTTTCTTCTATCGTAGTGTTGAAAACATTTTGAGCATTGATAAATTCTTTAATATTACTCTCAAGATCAGAGGGGTTCCTATTATTATTGTAAGAAGAATTACTATAGGAATAGCCATAATTATTAGAGGAATTTCCAGGGAAAGGCTTAGGATTAAAATTACCTCTATAAGCATTGTTATTAAAATTATTTTGCGAGACAAAATTCACATCTACGGGATCACTATTTTGCTCAATCAAAGTAGACAAAGGCACATCATTAAGATCAATGCGACCAATTTCATAAGAGCATATTTTTTCACTCAAAGTACTAATTTCTTTAACCGAATTAACTTTTTTACTAGTAGGTGCTCTTTCGGTATGCCATTGTGAATAATTTGCCATGACATTATTTAGCAATTTAGTAGTTTCACCCAAAGTAATCTCTATAAAAGTATCAGCCATGAATTTAAAAGATTTCTAGAAACAAAATTCAATCCTGCATATTTTTTTTGTATAATAATGGAACTTAACATGGGCCGGACCATTAGCGATGCCCTGACGCGAGCGGTTGTGCCTACCCGTGTCAGGCAAGGTATAGTTGTGCCCCACGCTAGACGGGAAAAATATACCTCAATTAGTGCAAGAGTAGCTCTCCTCTCGGGAGCTCCTATATGGTGTTGCAGGCGCTTGTTCGCGCTCTTGGCGCCTGCAGCGCCCCGCGCTGGGGATTCGAACTCACCACATCGTGTTAACGGATAGGCGCCACCAGCCACACGAGCTGCTTGCTGTTTGTGATTAGTTACAGAGGCAAGAGCATAATAACAAGGCCTCAGTGGTATTTTATTGAACCATTCATCTATTGTACCACTTAAAATTTTGAATTATTTGGAAAAAAGATCGTGATTTTGAAAAAAGTTCTTCATTTTGAAAGAAAATGTTCATAACCTGAAAAAAGTTCATTGATTTAAAAAATGTTCATCAAATTTGAAAAATGTTCATAGATTTTTAGAAGAAAAAAATCAAATTTTGAAAACGTTCATCGAATTTGAGAAATGTTCATCAATTCTAAAAATGTTTAGTGATTTTAAAAAACATTCATCGAATTTTATAAAAGTTCATAAAATTTGAAAAAAAGCTCACTGAATTTGAAAAAAGTTCATCAAATTTGAAAAAAGAATCATCGATTCTGAAAAAAAGTTCACAAATCTAAAAAAAGAGTTCAACAATTTTATTTTATTTTTGCAAAAATTGAGAAAAGTTCACGCATTTGAAAAGAAACAGAAAAAAATGAAAACCGGTCCCTTTCTGGAGAAAGAATAGAAGGTGAAAATGAGCAACATGTCTAATGTGGTGGGTTGTCCCAAGTGGTTGCTGCGTTGTTACCGCATGGTGCAGGTTGCATGTTTAAATCCTTTGCTGCACACCCACCTTTTTTTCAGTTTTTACAGAAAAGAAGAAGGGGAGGGAAGGAACTGGGCCGGCCCAAATTCGCGGCAGGGGGTTGCGCCGCCGCAGGCGCCCGTTGGCAAAATGACCTATAACGGGCGCCTGCAACGCCAAATAGGGTTTGCCTCTCCTCTCGCCTCAATCTTTTTCTTGAATGCACAGTAGTGTGCTAGCCCATTCTGCCATTCTTTTTTTCCTTTTTATGTTTATTAATCTTTTTTCTTTATTTTCAGTTTTTCTTCATTTTTCACCGGTTTTCTTCATTTCTTTCATGCTTTTCACTGGGTTTTCCCCCCTTCAATTTCTCATTTCCTTCTCAGTATTTTACTCTTTCTTTCTTTCTATTTTTTATTTGTTTCTTCCTTGGATTTCATCGACATTCTTTGTTTTTCTATGTTGCTTTCTAGTTTTTCTGCTTTCATTCTTTTGAATTGGTTTTTCTTTGTTTTTACTTATTTTTGGTTGTCTTCGTATTTTTTGGTTTCTTTGTGTTTTCATAGGTTTCTTTTCAGTTCAACATTTGTCAACTTTTCTTCAGTACACATTCAACATTTTTTATAGATGTCAGAAACATTTTTTATATACGTGTTTTACATTTTTTAAATACATTATTACCACTTTTTGAAACTTATATATTTTTATGTCTACTTTTTCATACACATTGTACATTAGTTGAATATATGTAATACATTTTAATACATATTTAATATTTTTCAAATACAAGATTAACATTTTTAATACATTGTAAAAAATTTCTAATACACCATGATTTTTTATTGGAAATAAATATTTCCTAAGATACAATGCACATTTTTCATATACGTCAATAACATTTTTATATACATGTTTATAATTTATATATATATATAATTAGCTTTTGAAAATATATGTTTTATATACAAGGAACATTTGTTTATACTTTTATTTAATGTATGGTGTAAATTTTAGGAACTTTTTTTAATACATTTAAAACACGTTTTAAATACATGATCAACATTTTTTTCATACACATTTTTTTGTGATACATTTTTCGTATACATGAGAAAAAATTTCTTTATACACATATAACATTTTTCGAAATGCTTGCTTAACATTTCCCAAATGCTATGTTAAATTTTTTTCAAATGTTTTATGTAAGTGTGTTTTCACATAGAGTATTTGGAAGTGTAGACAGAAATAAATAAAGAAAGCAAAAAAGAAAACCAAAAAACGTGAAAAGCAGGAGGAATAAACGAGGCATTGGCCTCCCGTGCACTGTGCCGGCTCATTTAGGGAGGCTTGAAGCGAGGGGCATATTGGGTCGCGATCGCTGTATTCGCGTCCAAAACATCATGGGCTAAGCCCAGTTTGCAACGCGAGCAGATATAACAGACTGACTCCGGCAGGGAAGGGTTCCGCCCCATTTTTGCTAGGTTTCCCTCTCCGCCGCCACAGCCGCTTCTCCCCATCTCCCTCCTCGCCGCCGCTCTCTGCTCTCCGCTCGCCGCCATGGGACGCATGCACAGCAACGGGAAGGGCATGTCGTCCTCGGTGATGCCCTACAAGCGGGAGGCCCCGGCCTGGGTCAAGACGTCCGCGCCGGACGTGGAGGAGATCATCGTGCGCGCCGCCAAGAAGGGCCAGCTGCCGTCGCAGATCGGCGCCCTGCTCCGCGACGGCTACGGCATCCCGCTCTCCAAGGCCGTTACCGGCGCCAAGATCGTGCGCCTGCTCAAGGCGCGCGGGCTGGCGCCGGAGATGCCCGAGGACCTCTACTTCCTCATCAAGAAGGCCGTCGCGATCAGGAAGCACCTGGAGAGGAACAGGTCGGACGTGGACGCCAAGTTCCGCCTCATCCTCGTCGAGAGCAGGGTCCACCGCCTCACCCGCTACTACCGCCTCACCAAGAAGATTCCCGCCGCCTGGAAGTACGAGTCCACCACCGCGAGCACTCTCGTCGCCTGATTTGGTTAAGCGGTTCTTTGACGTAATTCTCTGCAGCTTTTGGACTTCGGTTTTGTGTTAAGTAGTAAGCAATGCTTTTTGGGGATGTAAGCTGTTAAACCTATCAGCTACCGCTCGTGTGCCTGGACAGAAGTATTTCGAGAGTTTAGTGGGACTGGATCAGGTTCTGATCCTTGGAAGTTGAGACTATTTACAATGTGTTGGTGTTTGGTAACTTCGAGTAGGCTGGTAATGCTCTTCGTAGGTGTATTGCTATCACAAATCCTGCAGTGGAGTAAGAAACTTGCTAATGCACTCTTCATGTTTTATCCTGTTTTATTGTTGTTGCGAGCTCGAGTTGTTGTAGGCTAGATTTAATTTCTATAAAGCTTGGCTATCAAAGTTAAGGAGCCTACAGAGAGATTAGTCAATTTGGGAATTTTGCCATTCTTATTTAGGCTTTCTAACGAGCTATTGGGCTGGAATATGTGTACTGTTCTACTCCCTCCGTTCCTAAATATAGGTCTTTTTACATTTCAAATGGACTACAACATACGGATGTGTGTATGTAGACATATTTTAGAGTGTAGATTCACTCATTTAGCTCCGGATGCTGTCACTTGTTGGAATCTCTAGAAAGACTTATATTTGGGAACGGAGGGAGTATTACCTTTCCTATGTTAGGTACCCCTCAAAAAAAAATTCCTATGTTAAGTCAGTGGTAAATCAGTTGTTCAAAGCATGTGGGATCCATACCAGGTTGTGTAAGAAGAGTAATGACGTAACCTGTAATAAATACCTTGATCAAATGAACTAATTTACAAAAATCACATCATTTTTGGGAAACTTGTTCGTTCTTTTGAACTAGACTAGAGAGGAGTGGAGGCTAACATAGGGTCATTAATCTGCACCTCTACCAGTATCTGTTGGAGATTTCACTTGTGCTCCTTTGTTTCTTGTCCTGGAACCTGTGCCCTGGCCTGTTGCATTCTCTATGGCAGGTCAGTCCCCCCTCTACCCACGATGATTCAGGACCAATCGTTAGTGTGAGCGTACAATAATGTTTCTAATGAAAGTTTAAATTATCAGATAGCTTCCAGTACTTTGAGAATGAGCTTTGCAGTTGTACCTATTCTTCTGTCTATGCCGTTAATCTTAGGTCATGGAGTTTGTGTTCTATATAATCTAATTTTGCCGTTAATCTTACATTTCAGATGCCTATGTGCAACATGCATTCACATTCCGATTGTAGCGCTAACATTATTGCATTGGAATATTTTGTTTGACATTATTGTTTAGTTGATATATAAGTGCTCAGACCATTTCTTGTTCTTGATTGTATTGTTTACTTTACTTGGTGACGATCTCATGAGTATGTAGTGCTACTGTATCATGGTTGGCTATTAGTGTTCCAAATGTTTCTTAGGACAATCCAAACTTGTTTCAGTGGGAAATATTTTCCTTTTAAATTCCTTGGCCCCGACTTAACTGAAAGCAAGCATCAAGCAGACACTGGCCATGGGAATGCGAGTTGCGACTATACACCAAACATGTGGTCCATACCATGTATTGTTCTTGGTTGTGATGCTTCCTGTGCATGAACTAAAAGCTCGGAGTACAGTAATATCTCTTCCAGTTGTGATGCTTCCCATTTATCAGTCGTGGCAAACAGTCTGCTTGAGAAATTCTACCTCCCAGCCCTTATTGATCCAGGACCTAATTGTTTACTGTGATCATATCATAATTTCTTTGATGGAAGACTGGAAGTTCAGATCATATCAGATACGTAGGTTCCAAAGGTTCTGTCTATGAGCTTTGCAGCTGTAGCTGTCTGATGAGCTTTGCAGCTGCAGCTGCTTTGCTGTCTATGCTGTTAATCTTTAGCCTTTTGTTGCCTATGTCGTTAATCTTAGGTCTGGGAGTTCGAGTTCTATAATCTAGTTTAGCAATTGGCTTCAATGATGTTATTTTCCTTTCAGATGCCTATGTGCAGCAGTCATTCACATTTCGATTGTAGCACTATCATGATTGCAAACAAGGGTCTTTTTAATTGTAGCACTAACAGGTCTTGAAGATTTTGTTTGACATTTGTTTGTCTAGATGACCTATCGTAGCATCCAAGGGTCTTTTCACGTACTATGTTTCTGTGTTCAAACTTTTCAGTTAGTGATATACAAATTGCTCAGACCATTCTCTTGTTCCTGATTGTGTTGTTTACCTTACTTGCTGATGATCTTGTGAATATGTGGTGCAGCCCTATCATTGTTTTGCTTTGAGGGGTTCAGAATATTTCTTTGGACAATCAAACTTCTTTCAGGTGGAAATATTTTTCCTTTGAACTTCTTTGGCCCGTAATGACTCAACTGAAATCAAGCATAAGTACTTCTCAGCTGTGGCCATACGCCAAAGATGTGTGTGATCTGCCAATCTGCTATCCTGTCCATTTAGTCCAGCAGTCAGATGGCGTGCCACACATGAAGCAATCAGGCATGTTTTGTAACACGAACGCTAAACCCTTTGCAATGATTGATCAAACCAAGCAGAAGCAGGTACCAGCGCCGCTGGCTGGGCCGAATAATGGTGCGTGCATGATCTCAACCAAGTTGGATGCTTGATCTGAATAGATTGGAGATGTCGTACGCACTTGCCCTGTAGATTTGTTTGTTGGCTGGATCTTAACTTAATCGGCAGCATATGCTGCCCCTCAACTTGCATACATTTCCAAGTGCCGTGTTTGGGGGACTTTGACCGCTGCTTGTTTAAGTTGGTCGCGGCGGGATGGGTTATTAGCGCATCGCTAATGGAATCCCTAATAATAATTTAGAGGATCTTTAACTCCTCAAAATTTTACTCCTCTACAATGGCCGTACCTCGCCAAACCCTTAAATTTAACTCCTCAAACGAACTTTTTTTCCAACCGGGCTCATACCCTTTTTCATTAATTTTGCAATCAACGGAAATACATCAGTCATGTGTCGATCATGTTTCACAAGATAAGCACCGAGCCAGCTAAAGATAACTACCCAGCAAAAGGAGACTGAAAGGGGCACGAGCGAGTTGGTGCATCGACAGGAAACCCACTGCATGACAGCCCTAGAACGGATTATCAGCTGTGGGGCGAAAACCTGACGACACTACAACCACAACTCGAACCAAAAGCACCTGATCTAGGACATAGGAACTCTAAAGAGGATGGATCCGTATCATCAAAAGAACAATTCCAGTGGGCATCAGACCCCAGTGGATATAGGCCAGTCTAAAAGTAACAGGATCAAGACAGCTCCCCAATCTGAATACCATCCCCATCTCCCAGGAGCAGCCTGCTACGAGCATATGATCTGTCCGTCAGAGCAGCCGCCACATTAGCCAGCCTCTTCACCCCCACTTGGAATCTCATCTTGTCTTCCTCCTTAAGCAATCCTGCCCAGTATAACTCCTCAAACGAACTGACCCCACATAAAAGTATATGTTCATCTCCTTCTACCTTCTTCCTTCCACGGCGCTCCCAAGTCTTTGCCACAACGACGAGATCCCCCAGCCTTGATACCGCCACCTCGCCATCGGTCTTCGCCACCACGACGAGGTCCAACGCGCCTGTGCCCATGCTGCCTAGCTGAAGGTTTGGTCGTGCTCGCCATCGAAACCGACGGCGGCCTACCAGGTGCATGTGTGGTGTGCGTGCACAACTCGGTCGGCGGCAGCGCAGGCGTTGCAGGACGCCACCAGAGCTCCAGGACGTGGCGGCCATTGTAGGACGTCACAGAGGCAAGCGCACATAGCCGACGGCGTACGCACACGATTTTATGAAGTTCCTTGCTGCCAGCGAGATTCCGGCGCCAACGAGAGGCGGCGGAGTTGCGAGGGCGTAGGAGGGTTCCATTTTCCCGGTCACCAAGGTGGTTGACGGCCGGCGGCGTGGATTTCGGCAGCAGTAGACGCGAGAAATGGAAGGGAATTTTTTTAAGGGGCGGCGTCGCAGAGAAGTAAATATAGAAGAGTTGGGCGTTGGAGTAAACTTAAGTCCTTAAAATTTTACTCCTCTAGAGATTTGAGGGTTCGACTAGGTACAAAGGAGTAAAATGAGGACTTATAGGTTTTTAAGGGATCCATTGAAGATCTCTTAAGGCCCCTTTGATACAAAGGAATTTCATAGGATTTTTATAGGATTTGGATCCTTAGGATTTTTTTTTGTGATGGTCGTTTGATTTGTAGGATTGGAATCCTTAGGATTTTTTTCATAGGTTTCATTTGTACTACATTTTGAAGGAAACTTTTCATTCACTCAAACTTTTTTGTAGGATCCCATCAAAAAAACTTTTTTGTAGGATTCCTTTGTTTTTTCTATGCTATCAAACACTTCTCCAAATCCCATAAGATATAAGAAGACATGACACTCTATTCCTATATTTTTCCTATTCCTGCATTTGAAAATCTTGCGAATCAAAGAGGGCCCTTAGTTTGAAATGATCCCAACCAAACAACCAAATGCATGTCAGAGGTGGTGGTTTAATCAAGTCGGGAGGTTTGGTTCGTTGGACTGTCGTACTGTACTGCTGATATCGTGCTCGGTGTGCGCATTTGTTTATGGGAGATGCGGTTGTCTGTTGATGTTACTGATATTCTAGGTTTTGGACCACTTTCACAACTGGCTTTGCTGATATAGTGATGCCACCACGCTTACTCTATAAGCCTGGAGCACTTAACAACTTTGGCTTCAACATCTAGGCAACTTTACAACTATGCATTTCTCTTAGATGCAGTTGCTGATATAGTGATACATTTTTCCGGCTATTAGAAAGCTTGAATTTTTCTCTCACTATGTACTCTCCTTAATTTGTACTCCTTTCGTCCGGAAATACTTGTCATCAAACTAGATAAAAAGGAATGTATCTAAATGTATTTTAATTCTAGATACATTGCTTTTTATCCATTTTAATGACAAATATTTTCGGACGGAGGAAGTACTTCTCCGTTTTAAAATAAGTGTCTTAATTTTATACTAACTTTAATTTAAAATTGTACTAAGGATGAGACACTTATTTTGAGGTAGAGGATCTATATACATATAGATGTGCACTGAGTTGCCATAAGGCAGCTGGGCGTTTACTACACACCTACTCTAGAAAGATAAGTACTTCTTCCGTTCCAAATTACTTGTTGTAGGTAGTTCTAGATACATCCATACCTGCGACGAGTAATTCGGACGGAGGGAGTATTTGGAAACGGATGGAGTAGTAGCTATCACCACTGTCATTTTATTTTGCGAACGTACTCTTAAACATTCATCGGAAACACATGGGGTCACGTTGTGAGCAGTCAAAGCCCGGCAGGAATTCCCTGATGGCGCCAAATGCAGGATAAAAACAAGGACGTTCGGGTACAGTTGCTATCCTGCACCTTGCCATTTCTTTATGGGCCGCGGCCAATAAACAAGGCACCTAATCTCGGGCCATGCTGCCATGGCGCCGTTCGAGATCGGACAGTTCATCGCGGCGCCCGGGCAGCCATTATATATCCGTCTCTGGATCTAGCAAATCACAGCCCCGCACCGCATTGATCGTCTCCCGTCTCCACACCTGCGCTACCCACTGTGCTTCGCTTGGCATCCGTCCACACACACACACACACGCAACCAGCAGCAGCCTGCATTCCCATGGCCAGCCTGGTGCACCAGACGGCGGCCCCGATGCCGGCCGCGGCGGCGATGGACGACGACTTCATGCCGCAGAGCTTCGGGTGCTTCGGGCGGTCGCTGTCTCGGGCGTCGTCGGCCCGGCGGCTGGAGTACAGGGCGCTGAGCGGCGAGGGCGGGGAGGAGATGAGGCGCATCGCGCAGGAGGAGCGGTCGGCCAGGGCGAAGCTGCGGTGGAAGGCGGTGGCGCAGGAGATCATGGCCAGGAGGAGGGGCGGCGGCGGCGGAGGCGCGGCGCGGAGGAGGAAGGCGGGGTTCAGCTACGACTCCAAGAGCTACGCGCTCAACTTCGACCAAGGCGCCGCCGCCGAGTAGCCAGCGAGCGAGCGAGCGAGATCGCTGGCGATCGAGATGCAGCTAGCGCCTAGCGTACTGGCGAGCGTGCGTGGCTGGCGCTGCGGCCAGCCGACTGGCGACCGATGCCGGCGGGGGAATGGGGCGGCCGTGGCATGGTTATTGTTGGTTGAGAATTGAGAATGTGGAGGTCTAGTTTTGTGCCAGATCTTGTGTTCTTTGGTTGGTTATTCTTAGTTGAGAATTGAGATGTTGGGTGCATGTGCAGGAGTTGGCTGATGCGTCCTGACATATTCATGTGGTGTAATAAGATGAGCTGCTAGATGTTTCAAAGTGAATTCACTGCATTTACTATAATGGTTGTTTCACCAGTAAATGCTCCCTCGTCCATGCTCCGGGAAACATAAGAGTGAGGCTACACGTCACGCGACTGACTTTTTCAAATCAGGTCAGTCGATTTTTCAAACGTACGACCGAAATCTAACGGCGCCCGACCTTTCTTCTACCTCCATCTCTTCTTCTTCTCCAGCCGCCGCCCGAGCCACCGGCCTCATCGCCCGCGACCGCCACCCGTGGCCGGCGGCGCTCCCACGCCGCCCTGCCCTCTTCCTGAAACCGCCCCCACCGCCGGTCTAGTCGCCGCCCCCGGCCATCCCTTTAGGCCTGTCGGTGGGAACGACACCTATGGGATCACAAGAATCCCTACTGTGATTATCGGGGCGCGGGGTCATGAGAAGAGCGGATCAAACAGATAGCACACGGTTCGTTTATCCAGGTTCAGGCCGCGAGGATGCGTAAAGCCCTACTTCTGCTTTGGTGGATTGTATATCTGTGTTCTTGAGCTAGCTATGGGGCGTGAGGAGCTCCAAAAAGCCGAATCCTTCCTCTGGTCGCCTTGGGGGGGTTGCCACAGTGGCACACAGGAGGTGGAAAGGGTACATGATGCGAGGTTATCCCTCGCATTACATGACAAGGCGCATTTAATGCGTCTTGCTTACGTGTCCTTGCTTTATCGGGAACGGGGGAGAAACCTGTCTCGTCCGTCGCCGCTCCTTCTTGTGTCGACACGCGCCCTGGCCAGCGAAGCCTGAGATGCCATGTAGGTAGGCAGGTAGCTGAGGTGGCGCAGTGGTGGGTCTTCATAAAGATCTGCATGCCGCCACGCGGGTGCCTGCCCAGCTGGTTGGGTCAGCAGCTGCATGCATGCGGTGGTGGAGGTTTAGTCGGCGTGGGCCTGATGGTGGCCCTGCGGGTGTCCTCGGCGCTTACCGGGGGCCTTGTGGTCTTCCTTGGCTGGGATCCCGTCAAGGGTTGTCGTCTCCTTAGTGCGTATCTGATCTTGAATGTCTTCACAAAGATCTGCATGCCGCCACGGGGATGTCTCCCGAATCCTTGCCCTTTGGGGGCAGTGGACTCAAGGGTGATTTGCTCCGTAGGCGCGGGACGAGTCGCCGCGGCAAGGGTCTTGCCGGGGCTCCTAGAACTGTCTCCCGGCAAGGATCTTGTCGGGGGAGTCCGCTTCGTCCCCTTTGCTCTTCGTGGTCTTAGCCTTGGCGTCGTTCTAGTTCTCTTGAGCTTCGGTCTTACCCTGGCTCACCTCCCTTGCCTTGCTTGGTGTGGTGGTATCCACGGCTCAGACTGCCCGTGCACGGTTATAGGGGTACAAAATGTGTACCCCTCTTTTTGTACACTGACAGGAGCCCCCGGGCCTGGGCCACACATAAGCGCAACGCGTTGTTGGGCTAGGACCAAAAACGGTGCGCGGGCAGGCGGGACGGTTTTTACCGTGGCAAGATTCTTCGCGCGCTGCGTTTCCCACGACTCCCGCACGTGACGCGGCGTGGGGAGGTGCGTGTGACGTGGGCAGCATGCGTGGGGTTGGTTCGCGCGGGCATGCGTCACACCACAGTTAATGTGAAAGGAGGCGGCCCGTGTTTTCCCCCATAAAAAAGGAATAACCACGGGCGCGCTGCTCACTTTCTCCTCTTTCCTCGTGCCTTTTCCAATCTCAGAGCCGCCGTTTTCTCTCTTCCTTCCTTCCTAAGCTTCAGCCCCTCCCTTCCATCCGTCATGGAGAGAGGGAATCCCGGTCCTTCAACAGTGGCGGCGAGGGTCACCGCTCGACAATGCGTCCCTCCTTCTCCTGCGCCTGCGGTGGCAGAGCCAGCAGTGAGGGGAAGGGGGAGGGGCGAGGCCGTGGGCGAGGCCGGGGCGCTCGGGGAAGGGGAGGACCGGGCGGCGCGCCGGCCTCGCCTCCGCCAGTAGCTCCTCCAATGGAGGGCCATGTTGGGGATGACCCTTGTGAGTTCTTCGGCAGGCTGCGCCGGCCGCCGCGTCGTCGCCTTCGTCTCCCGACTCCATTTGCGCGGGAGATGGAGCTGGATCCGCCGGAGTCGTTGCGGCTGCACATGAGGGGCTGCGGGATCAGTGGCATGTGGGTCCGCGTCGACTTCCCCGCCCCTCACGTGATGTATCTTCGTCGGGGATGGAAGACGTTTGCTCATATCCACCGCTTGACGGAGGGGCTCACTCTCCATTTTAAGCTGATGAAGGGTGGCCTTCTCTCCGTCAAGATCTTCGGGCTCTTTGGGACCCGTGCGAGGTGCTGCGTGGAGAGATCTTCTGATAGTGAAGACTCCTCCTCGGGCGGGAGTGACGAGGAGGACAGCGGCAGCGACGACGAGGGTAGTAGGCAGCAGGATGATGGGTCCGACTAGGTGTCGGGTGCCGCTCCGTGCGGCACCGGCGACCCCATCATCCGTGTCGCCGGCTCCCTGAACTTCTCGGGGTCATCTCCTTGGGTGGCTGGCGTTGGGAGGCTGCGGAAGAGGAAGAGGGCGGGCGACAAGGCCGTCAAGTCGGAGTACGCGGGCACTGATGCCTTCGACGCGTGCTGACGTCCTGCCGCCTCGTCTTCGAGCTCTGCTTCCGGCGCCGCCATCACCATCCAGCCTTTGGACGGCCACCAAGATGTTCTCTTGGTGTCTTCTGCCACCCGTAGCTCGCCTAGGCGCTCCTTTTGTCCTTTTCGCCTCCTTGACCTGCCTCCTGAGGAGAGGGACAAGAAAGGGATTACGGGCACCTTATCTCTTTTTAGTTTGTAAGCCTTCGTGCCTTTGCTGAATTTAAAACTTGTAATCCCATCATTCATGTTTTTCATTCCCTATGGACTGTACCTGAGTGGAATGTCTTTTTAATGAAAAAGGGATGCTTGCCGGGTCATTTGTTTGCGGGTGGAACCCACGACAAGGAGTAAATCCTTGATATCTTCAAGATAAACATTTCCTTGCCCGACAACATGCCTTGCCATCTCCCCACTTCGCTCGACCTTCCTCACGCCTTTGACGGAGGTAGGGATGAGGCGGGTTCAGGCTCCTTGTTTCATCCTTTCGCTGCCGCGACTACGACCAAACTTGGCCCCAGGAACGAGCCCTAGGGCCTAGAGTTAGGGGAGCACGGTAGCTTAGGGGAAAACGAGGTTTCACATACCTCAGTCCATAATGGAATGCATGATAAGGGATGAAGAACTTATCTGAAGCTGCAGTCCCCGGCAACCCTAGTTCGCCGTGGGTGAATCTTTGCTCTTGCAGCCCCCGGCAATACTGGCTTGCCGGGGGCTAGATGTTGGTCTGTTCCTCTTTTTTTTTCTCCCCAAGTGGTTCGGCACGGATATCTGTGTGTCCTGTGAACCAAAGAAGTCAAAAGAAAGATAAAGAGATGCACACTCGACCTCTAAGCTAGGGGTTAGTCGCCGCTAAGCACTATCAACCCTAACCAAGGACGAGACTCGACCTAGCATGCATGCTATAACTTAGGGCGCCAGCGCTTCATTTATTTATGCTCAGGGTCTGCGCCTGGTTTTGTACAAAGGGTTACATGCGTCATCGGCAAGGCTCGTACAAAAGGTGGCTTGCCGGGGGGCCCGGCAAGCCGCACCTCACGGGTAAAACTTGCAGATGCCCAATGTTCCAGGAGTTACTCACCGAAACGACATCTTCGGTCTCCAGGCGGACTGCGCCGGGCCTGGTGACTCGTATTACCCGATAAGGGCCTTCCCACTTTGGCGTCAACTTGTTGGAATTCTTGGCTGATTGAACGCCTCGAAGAACAAGGTCGCCATCCTCAAAGCTTCGGGCATTAACCTTGCGGCTATGGTAGCGGCGCAAGGCTTGCTGGTAGCGCGCTGCTCTCACAGCCGCCCGAAGACGATCTTCCTCAAGGAGCGTTGCGTCATCTTGCCGCAATTGCTCTTGCTCAAGCTCGTCATAAGCGAGTACTCGAGGTGACCCGTATATGAGTTCCGTGGGGAGAACTGCTTCTGCCCCGTATACCAGGGCAAAGGGTGTCTGGCCGGTGGCTCGATTTGGTGTCGTTCTGATTGACCAAAGAACCGCCGGCAATTCATCAATCCAGCGCCTTCCACTCTTGTGCAGTCTGTCAAAGGTCTTTGTCCTCAGGCCTCGCAGTACTTCAGCATTTGCCCTCTCAGCTTGACCATTGCTTCGTGGGTGAGCAACGGAAGCGAAACAGACCTTGCTACCGAGGTCTTGAATATATTGCATGAAGGTGTGGCTTGTGAACTGTGTGCCGTTGTCGGTGATAACCCTATTGGGTAGACCAAAACGACACACCAGTCCTTTGAAGAATTTGACGGCTGACTGTGCTATGACCTTCCTCACTGCTTCCACTTCTGGCCACTTTGTGAACTTGTCGGTTGCAACGTACAAGTACTCAAAGCCCCCGACAGTGCGGGGGAAAGGGCCCAGTATGTTGAGCCCCCAGACCGAGAAAGGCCAGGAGAGAGGAATGGTTTGAAGGGCTTGAGCTGGCTGATGAAACTTCTTTGAATGGAACTGACACGCTTCACACCTGGTGACTAGTGTCGTCGCATCCTGGAGGGCAGTGGGCCAGAAGAAACCTTGCCGAAACGCTTTGCCGGCAAGGGCCCTTGACCCGATGTGGGATCCACATATGCCTCCATGTATCTCCGCCAACAGCCACAGTCCTTCCTCTCGAGGGAT